TTAGATTAACACTGGTATCATGTTTATTAAAACGCAAACTAAACCTGATGGGTATCACATGATGAATACTCGCTGAGAACTTGAATGATTCAATCTCGGCATATCCAGTCATATCGTAGTCAACCAGAAGTGTTCCGTTTATTGCTACTCTGCTAATTTCGTGTGTTGAATAACAACGATTCGTTCAAAATACGGTTGACATTCGCCGTATCCAAGGAAACTAGCCGGATAAAATGCTACAATGTCAACTGAGATTATTATATTTTGAGTTCCAGAGACCACTATATCCAAACTCCTCATAAGATCATGTTATATCGTCGAAAAATTATTTTAGACTTGTACGCCGTGAATTTTGTTTATTGTGCTGTACGAACAACAGACGACGTAGTAAAATAGTTACTGAGTCATCACTGTCACCGCCATATTTTATAGCAATCTGTTTCATCGTACTTTGGAGAGATTCCTTCCAATAAAGTGTACCAGATGGTAACACAAATTGATCAAATGTTGATTCATTCGTATTAGATTTATCTGCTGCAGGTAAATCTGTGACAGAAAAATCTCTTGCAGATAAATTTGCATATTCACCGTGAAATAGTTATTCAGTGTCACGCTCATTAATATATTAAATCTCCTTAAAAAATACTGCCGTTATAAAATCTAGTTGTTCTTACTCATAGAAACTTCGTTACCGATTTAGTCCAGGCGTGTGAATTATATTATATAATTGCTACTGGGGCGCCCTTACTGCAGTATTTGCCGGAATCGTACATAACGTCGTTTGTTATTGTTTTACTACTATCAGAAACTTCACTGTTTTTTCAACACTGCTACATCATTTACTTTAGCTCGGCCGACAAGAAAATCTTCTCATTCATCTATTTTGATATTCGTGATTCTGTTAGTCCGTTTCCACGTCTCGAGTTAATAAGTAGAGGATCTCAAATGGGTAACGATTAAATATTAAATTTACGAAACGAGTTGAATAATGCCCGGCTTGTGCGACATATGTCGGGCAAAAGCTGGACATCATTTAACAAGTTTCATAAATTTAGTATAATATCATTGCCCATTTGAGATTCTTTTCATCTGTTTTATTTCAGTAAAAATTATCTAGATAGAAAGAAGAACGAATAATATGGTTTATTATGCTAGACGCTGTACCTTTCATTTATTGTGCGTAAAAGTAATTCTAAAGAATAGAATATGCACTAGGCAAAAAAAAGTCGCTGATGACTCATGATCGGATCAGTCACACCTTGTCATCAAAAGTGTCGTGGTGAGTACTGTGGTTATCACATAGTCAGTGTACCTCGTGGCAGTACTGGACAACAAACATGTCTGAATTGCAGAGTTAGCGTCAAGGGAAAATCACAATTATGTGTATCTTGTTGTAGTCGAAAATATCGCGCGCTTAAACGAAATTACGAGAAACAAAACGCTTTTAATTACTTCAGAATAAAATACGCAAGGATTATCTTGAGAGATATTTCTCTGCTGAAAAGTAATGTTATATTAAAGGAAATCTTTTTATATAGATGGAACAAGTTGAGATTAATGTTGATGAATTTAGATGCTATCCCGTATTTACACATCATGAAGCAAATATAACCGGTGTGATCAGAAACTGTCGTCTTAAAAAAAAAAGTAATGGGTCTTATCAGTGAAAAAAGATATATCATTATCAATATTAGAATATCTTGTACAACATAAATATATCTTATTCTAAATTTGTTTACAAGTGTTTCAATGGCATTTGCAATGATGATTTCATGATTGATCATATTAATTTTAAAATTCTAATAAAGAAGATAATCATATTGAAAATCTGCAAGCGATCACACAAAAAGAGAACATAATACTCAGAAAAATCGGGAGATGCAAAACGACACAATGATACAGGAGAAATAAATCATTTTTCGTCAATATCAGCACCTGAAAAATATGTTAGTATTTGCAAAAGATCAGTTCAATTTACGGTTGAAAATATATAAAATTCACCTACGTCAAAACAACTAAACCAATCAAATAAAATTCACACATATATATATATATATATATATATATATATATATATATATATATATATATATATATATATATATATATATATATATATATATATCACAAAAAATATTTCTGCTACCAGGCCCACATACAGGTCAGTAGACCAAAGTCATTTCAGTATCTTCAGCAATATAACCTATTTTTTTTTTCCTACTGCAACTAACTACCGGAATTCCAATTCGACTCACAATTTAGACATTCCAGCGTCATGTGTTGGCTGTAGTAAGAATAACAGAACCCAACCTAAATATACCCGTTGACATATTAACAATAACTCACGGCTCAAGCAAAAATCAATACCTGTACTATTTTACGTGACTTGCGGTTTAAAACACTAAACTCTCTGTTTAGAAATGCGTCGATACTAACAAAATTCCCTCTCTGTTTATGATGATAAAATTATATAAAATCAACGCTAGTATTGTTGCTGCATTTTATTTCATTTGTGTATTTGGCACTGTAACACGTTCAACAGACGACATGTACAACATCTACCGGTCAAGTTGATGAAATGTACACACTTTTTAATGCACTTATACTGATATACCGCTTGTTTAAAAAAAATCCCGCCCAGTAACTTTCCATTGAGGTCACAATAGACCAGAGTGTGAGAAAATCACGCAGTATACACATGATAGTAATTTTCCATTGAGGTGAGCATGGACAATAATCAGTGTCAGAAATTTTCCGTTGAGGTCAGAATAGACAGTAACAGGTGTCAGTAATTTTCCATTGACGTCAGAATGGGATTTTGGATAATTAAGGAGTCAACGTTGCTTGGTTAAATATAGTATTTTTAGCCCGTTTTGTAAATTGGGGCATTGATGGGGTGGTCAACTCCCAAAGTCGTGGCCACCTTTATTTGGGTCGATCTCATCCCTTCTGCTTCTCCACTTCTGGCTGCAAACTATATATGATATTTAAATTGATTATGTATTTAATTAAACACGGTGAAAAGTCTTAGATTAGGTGGTCGCCCATTCAAAACAAACTTATTACGGTTCTCGAAGCTCTGCTAGTTAAATAAATAAATTCGTAAATAAATAAACTTGAAGCCAACATCTTTAAAGTTTGCGCGTTATTTGATATTACGTTTCATTAGACGTTAACGAAACGAGTGGAATGATGACCAGTTTTCTCATACACTCGCCTTTCCTCCATTATTCCACTGCACATTTGCAGAAGATTGTAGTATTGCTTCACCGAAAGCAACGGTGAACATTGTTACCTCCTTCCTCGAAATAAGAAAGGCATTTTTTTCCCCTCAAAACAATGGAAGTTGATTTATTGGTTAATATCTTCGAATCTTCGGCTGGTGACCATGGTACGTGTATGCATAGTACCGGGGCAAGGGTACTATGCGAAAATTTATTCATGCGCACCTCTTCCCCTCTTCCTCCCCCCAAGCTTCTCAAATGAATGCTACATAATGTGGCATTGATCGTTGGTATTAATTTTATTATTTAGTCAATATAGAACTGGAGTAAACTATAGCTGTTATATACGAGATAACGACAAGTTAAAATTTAAGTTTAACGACGCTCTCTTTTCTTTCATTCATTCACACTCCAGCGATGGTGTCCAAAAATATTTTTCGGGTACCACTTTTTAGCGCACCCCCAAAAAACTTTGGCTCCTTAGGCGGCTGCCTAGATTTCCAATTGGTTAAACCTGTCCTGATTAAATATCACTAACATAAGTCTGTATCTGTAATACTAATTAATGTATCGCTGTATGTCACTCATATCCTAGCACGTGCCGATTCACGTGGACCACCAACCAAGGCGTCACATGATTTGCAAGCACATTGGCAGGCTGACGGAATTTAAGGCCTGATATCCATTGCCAGTGCAACTGGCACTATATACTTATATACAAATTCATATAGTAATATCTATAACATTTTTCACTTATTTGTCTTAAAAAGTCTATATGCAATAAAAGCGTAACATTATTTCATACTGAACAAGTGCCAACACAAAATAATTTGATTGCATAGGTTGCACTATGCTCTGCATTACTGTTAAACTTTTGGATATTAGAATAGTGTTCGTTCATTGATGCTAGCTCTAAAGTTTCATATTTTGCTTAGGGTTAGAATTGCAAAGAAAAAAAATCATCTGGTTTCCTCACTGGTCATACTGTCTATTTAAAAGAAAGACCTTATATATAATGATATTGTTCAAGAACCTTAAATTCACTTTATTTTGGTGTGTGATTAATGGCTGCAATATGGGTTATAGATTATACATCGTGGCCTTATTTCAGATGTTCATCTCTCAAAAAAGTGATAACTTCGCTTGGTCATTTTCACTTTCTGGACTTCAGAGGTAAATTTCAAACAATGGAGCCAATAACGTTTGTACATTTTATTGTGATATGAAGTGATTATGATTTTTAACATAGCGTTAACAATTTTTCAATGATGTCGCTACGATGTATGCAGTGTGGCAGTTTATAGTGATGTCTAGAACAAGGGCATCATGCCGCAGACATATAGTATGATGTCCCACCCAGTCACATTATCCTGATACCAGGCAGACCAGTCCTAACAATAACCTCTTATGCTGAGCGTCAAACGATGCAGCTATTAGTACCAATTTTTTTACGTTTTATTTATTCGGTAATTATTTAATTGCACTTTCAAAAGCTGGTATTGTTTAGTCCTGGAAAATCCATGTTCCCTATTTTAATAACTGCTAAAGATAGTGTATTTTATTCATAATATTCACATTTCAAGAGTCCGGCTTGAAGAAGACTTGGATAGTTGTCTTTTATTTCTTACATCGTTCTTGAACTATCATAATTGTTAAACCTTTATTGGCGTCTAGGGTCCATGTCCAGTCGTAATTCATGAGCTAGTCGAGCCAACAGAATATTATCTTCATCGTTATAATAACTGACGTTATAATTGTCCACATTAATTGAGGACCGATCCTGTGGCCTAGTGGTTAGAGCGTCCGCCTCGGATGCGGGAGGCCAAGGGTTTAAAACCAGCTAAGACATACCAAAGACGTCTTTAATGGTACTAATAGCTGCCTTGTCTTGGTGTCAGACTGGTTGGTACATCATACTAGGTTCTAGGTTCTAGGTATCGTTTAAGTCGCTTGCTGCCGTGAGGCTTATACGACTGCTTACAGTCCCGGGCATGGATTGCAGTCCCTCTGGGGAGTATGCCACAATCCCGGGCGTGGTCTGTGGTTCCCCCTGGAGGGCTCTTGGCCTTTGGTGCTAGACCTTTTCATGACCCCCTAGGTATCAGGGACCTCAAAAAAGACCCTTATCGTCTTTATTCTGAACCTGACTCTAAGTTCCAAAAATGGCAGAACCGCAATCCACTCTCCAACCCAGGCCGCGACTCCCGCGCCACCAATGCCCCCAAGTTATTATCCACCCAACTTTATTTCAGTTGAGTGGATTTTTTATCAAATATATACCAGTTTTTCCTATTGGTATCCCTATATCAATGTTGTGTGAGCCACCTGTACAATTGGCTTAATGATCCTGAGTTGTGAATTTGGAATAAATGATTGTAATTGGAATTTTGCGTACTTGGTGTACTTATAATGTTCGCAAAAATTACCAATCTTTAGGCGTTTGCCCCCTATTTGATAAATTTATCACCGCTTTGGTTTGGATGGTTGTGTAATTTTGACCGCCTTGCCAAAGAATCTTGTTTGGGCCGTGGGTCTTCAAAGCCAAAGTGAAGACATAGGTTGTAGGCTTTTCGTTTTGAACAGTTGGCCGCGCGGCCCGGACTGTTCATCGCTAATCGTTTGTCCGTACCAGGGTTGGGGTTTTGAGACAGCAGTGGGGAGGTGGTTAGTTCTGCATAGTCTCTTGATTTGTTTTTGAAGTGTGGTCTGTTTGTGTGCGTGCTGGGTTGAGCTTTTGGGATGTTAGCTGGAGCTGTCTAACTATCCCTTTTTGATTTGAAGGCATTTTCGTGCTTTTCTTTATTGGCAATAAAAATTAGTAATCTTTTCATTCTACCATCAGGGTAGTGTTGGTACTGCTTCCTTGGGTTGTCGGATTTGGGACGGACCCGCATCATCCCTCTGCTTGTCTGGTGATTCCGCCATCTTGTTCTAGTTGTGGTTACTTCCATCCTTCGTTGTATACAGTAGGAGCTGACTGTATCCCACTGCCTTTCATGTTTGAGAATTGGTCGGATCCATTTCTCCGCTTCGGACATATACTGGTATAGCTTCCAGTATATTGGTTGTACATGATGTTATGTAATATTTTCATTTATCCCCCTATCTGTAAAACGACTACGGGAATTAGTGTTTATTTTGGGTCTTGGTCGGATCCAAGACCCCGCTAACTGGATCCCATTACCTTTTAATATTTGAGAATTGGTCGGCTCCAATTTTCCGCTTCGGACATAAACTGGTAGAGCTTCCAGTATATTGGTTGGACATGATTTTATGTAATCTTTTCATTTAATCCCCATATCATTAGAACGACTATGGGTATTATTTTTTATTTTGGGTCTTGGTCGGGTCCAAGACCCCGCTTGACTTGATAGTGCCTTCAAGTCTAATAACTGGCATTCGGTCGGTACATTTTATTATTTCTACTCCCCGTGGAGTAGATTTTACGCTAGTTCGGCCAATCGGTCTACTCCGCTCCTGGGAGTTAGGGATATCAGGGGGAAGGTTCCTGATTTTGCCCATAGTTATCGGTCTTAACCTATATGTCCTTGTCATGGTGGGAAATCTTAGCCTATACATTGCTTATAGGTTTCAGGATCCACCCAGGCTTGTGCTAGTATGAGTCCTAGCGCCTGTTTTATGTAATGGACCAGGTTTGGCGTTTGCGAGTATGTTGGTGTTTGTATGCGGAGATAGATTATTAGGGTTTCGATACCGGCTTATTGATTCCCTTTATTTGAAATTATTAAGTATTTTCGGTATGCGTGATTCAGCTATCTTGTTGTTTTCCTTCCCTCTCCTCCCTGTGTGGTTTCCAGTCTTTTCTTCTTTATATTGTATTATTTACTGAATAATATTGGATGATTCAGTTTTATCGTATTTTGTCTCTTTAATTTGAACAATAGTGTGTACTTATTAATAGTTATGTAGAGCGTTTGGGCCGCAGATGTTTCTATGTACGTCATTCGAGTGCTAGATTTTGATTGGTTGGTATAGATTTTGGTTTTCAATCTTTCTTTTAGTTCAAGATTGCATGTTCTTTTGCGGTTTAGAGTGCGGCTATATTCTGCCAATCAGATGTAGTCTTAGTTTAGGGGCTTATGTATTTCGTATTACCTGATTTGTAAGTTGGTATATTTTTAGCCCGGTATGTTAAAAGGGGAATTTGCTGTCGGTTGGAGTTTATTATTATTATTATTATTATTATTATTATTATTATTATTATTATTATTATTATTATTATTATTATTATTATTATTATTATTATTATTATTATAAATTTATTTTCCAGAAACCTTTTTAATGAATATTCATGTAGGGGATGTATGATTAAGTATTCCTAATATATTGTTTGAGGTTTATTGTTGTGACGTAGTACCACTATTCATTCTATATTTTGGCTGTTTATATTATGTATATATTTTTTAATTAAATTTATTTCAGTATATCATACTACATATATGCGGCATGATGCTCCAGTGCTAGACATCACTATAAGCTGCCACATTGCAGATAACGTAGCGATATGACGGATATGTTGTTAAAACTACGCTAAAAATCCAAACCACTCACACACTTACACACACACACACACACACACACACACACACACACACACACACACACACACACACTTCAAAGGACATCTTGATTGTACCATGCGTCGTCTCTGACGTGGCTTTTGAAACATCAGTTGATATCATCCTACAGAGTAATTTTCTTACAAAATTATGTAATTAGCTTTATAAGATGATTCTTTTGTATGCAAAGTGCAAGGGCGGACGGTCCTATTTTCAGCCATAATCTGTGTTAGAGCACATGTCAAGTATTGTTTTGGGACATTTTCCGGGCCCTTGCCTGACAAATCAGGCGACTAAAGCACCTAAAACCATAATCAGTCTGTTCGAACGTGTGATAGGAATTTAGAAGCTAAAATATATTTCCAAGTTTCAACTGATTTTCGGTTTATGGTGTATTTTTATGTGTAAAATTAAAATGTGTGATGGAAATTTGTGTTGGTATTCCGAATTGAGGGGTTTCGATTTACTCGGGGAAAATGATGTTAAAGAAGGGAAACAAAATCGTAAATAAAATAATTTTTCGTGTTTGAGGGGGTTCCGGTATATTGAGGTATCTGTTGTGAGGAATTTTACTGTAGATGCCTGACATATGACGCAACAAAATGTTCTGGAAAAATTCTCGAACTCGGAAACATGGCTAGGTCTTGATTCTCTTGAATTTTAATTTTTCTTTAACAATTAAAATAACATAGAATGGTGTCTTAAAAATGGCACAAAATAAACGCAAACTATAGCAATTTTGTACTTCTGCACATTCATTATCGTTTCTTCTGATATGTCTAAGATCAATATTATGTTCCTGAAGCATCAAACTCGATCTCTTCTCAACGATCTTTGATTTTTCCTTTATTATCTTGTTATTAAGGTGGCGCTCTACAGTTTTGTATTTAGCATAGGGTTAGAATTTTAAAGAAAAAGAGTTTCCCCGGGTTTCCTCACTAGTTATACTGGTTATTTAAAAGAGACTTTGTATATTTTAGGTATTGTTCAAAGAACTTCTGATTCCCTTTATTTTGATGTATGATTGATGGGTGTAATATGGGTTAGAGAGTATATAGCTTGGCCTTACTCCAGATGTGCACCTTTCAAAAAAGTGCTAGCTCTACTTGCTCATTTCCACTTCTCAAACTTCAGAGGTAAACTGTAAAAAAAAAGATAACTTTTTTTTTTACATTTTATGTATTTGGTAATTCAGTCATTGCACTTTTAGAAGCTGGTATTATCTAGTTTGGCAAAATTCATTTTCCATATTTTAATAGCTGCCAAGAAAAGTGTACTTTAGACAAATTTAGGTTGATTTTTGGAGCACAAGGGAGCAGTCATTTTAGTTAGCAGTGTCATAAGATCATTTAAAATTTCCAAAAGTACAATATCCAAAGAAATTTCATCCACATTACATGAAAGTAGCATACAGATATGCCAACATTCTTTCCACTATGCATGTTTAAAATGCAAACAACTTCACCTTACATACATCACTCTCTCAAAAGTACATAATAACTGGTGAGCGCCACCTAAAGTAGGAGGGTTGTGATCATTGATCCAAAAATAATCGGAGAAGAAGCTGAACTAGTACGTTAAATGTTGTTACAAAGCCAGTATCAAAGTAAAATATTCCTATTCAGTTGTGGAATAATTTCTCTGAAGTTTGTTGGGGTTTTTTTTAAAGAAAATTAGCACACTTGATGATCCACACATTTATTTGTCTTCTTGAATCATTACCCCGTCCAATGCCACATCCCTTGCATCAACAAATATTTTAAATGACTGAAATTTGGAGCTGAAAGAAATGGTGCATCTTTAAGTATGACCTTTCATTTTCAAAAGATTTCTGACACTTTTCTTACTAATAAAACTTGGAAACTTGGATTCCTTACTTAAAAATATGTCAAAGGCATGGAAATTATGGAGAAATTTCAACAAAAGTCCAGAAAATATCTTATGACCAAAACTTGCATTAGTTGCTTCTTACTAATTGGATCTGGAAATTCAGAGACAGCCTTCACCTTAGCTTTGCAAGTTTAACTTGAACGTGTCCCACAATATGTCCAAAAAGGTGACATAAACATGGCAAAATTCACTTTATCGTAAATTATTTCTCAGATTTGCATCAATGAGTTGATCAAAGAATTTACAAATGGTTTCCAAATTATCTTTGCAGGTATATTTATAGATAATGACGTCATCGATGAACTCCACACAATGATCTAGACCAGATGTTATCATATTCACTAAACGTTGGACTATTGACAGAGAATGTATCATTTCAAATG